GTTGCGTTTTTTAATTCCACCGGCGTAGTGTGGACGGAAAACATTTGATCCGCTTATAGAGTGAAACGTCCGTTTTCAAATGCCTCGACCTCCGCCGTGGTGTGGAGGGGGTCGAAGACCCCCAGAGACCCTAAACGGACAAAAATTTTGTGAAGGCAGAGGCGATCCAATATTTTTTATTTCAGTGATTTAGATCGAGGGCTTCCTGGGTAGGGCTTCCTGGCCTTTTGGAAAGAAGCGTTCTCAACAGACATGTCGTCGCCAATGTACAGCTAATGTGGTCAATTTTCCGCGTGCAAGTTGCGTGACAACCATAGAGTTTGTCACATATCTGTCAGCTGATCGCTTCGGCCTATTACGGTACCCGCTTGAAAAACGCGGGAAAATTGTGTCACGTGAACAGATCAGCCGACGAAGACAGCATGGCGGTAAGTTGTTCCATGAGTTGTGGAAGAAATCGCCGTTACTTTGATAATGTAAAACCTTTCTACTTAGTTAGGGAGTTATTCTTCATATCTTTCACAGTAATTATCTACTTCATTCCGGGTTTTAGCTCCTTGATCGTCGTTGTTGAAGCAAAATTACCTTCGGCTTCGCTTCGTCCGATGCATGCATTCGCCTTGCAGAAAATGTTATTCGATCGAATTTTAAACTGAAGGCCAACTTGATTTCTTGGGGATTTAAGTTTTAAGTTTAAATTTAAGTTTAGCTAAGAGATTCTATCCATGCTACCGAAGTTGTGTCGTTTTAAACACGACCTGCGTTTCGTGGTTATCAGGCTTTGTGTGAAATGTACAAATTTTTCGCGAGTCAGTTTGTTCGGAAAATTTGTATAGCTTTGAGAATTGGTTAAAATGTCTAACTCCACTTTTCTTTTTTCAAAACAAAACAAGGTTGCCAGGTCGTGATAAGAAGGAGCTCATCATCGTCTCGATTTTGATGAAACCAAATTCTTCCAAGGGAAACATATAGAAAATTTGCCAGAGCAGCGAGGAGAGTTTTGACATTGATCAGGATATTTCTCTTTCTGTGCAGGAATCCTCAAGTAGTCTAGGTGTACCCAGCAGCCCTCAGCGGACAGATGGCCTCACATCAAGTCCAGGAAGGGATCTGCCGCCGTTTGAAGATGAAACTGATGCAGTCCTTGGTAATGATGATGTGGCAGAGGAGGAAGAAGGCGAAGAGTTGTTTGGCGACAGGATGGAACAGTAAGTTGTGCAAAACTGTTTTGTTATTCTTGGCGAAATTTGCAGTAGTGGTATTGTTGGGTCTATTCAAGATGTGTTTTTAAGAAAATTATATGTAGTTTTATAAAATAGCCATACCCCCCATGGAAGGGATTTTTTCTAAAACCCCCCACCCTTCTGGAAATTCCAATTAAACTTCATACATTTCTGTCAATTTTTTGCTCTTGCAGATACCCCCCATCTTCAGGAAATTCCAATCCCTTCTGTGGGGGGAAGTACACACAATCTGTTGTAGTACTGTAGATGTTATGAATCAGATATATTTTCACTCTCCTGATTGACACAAGTTGATGAAGGAATTAAATCAAGCTGACAAATTGTGGCATAGAACCAGGTCTAAACAGATCAGCCAACTGATTAGGAACACAAACTGTAATATGCGTAATTCTGCCCTTAGTCAGCTATCCTTCAGGTTCAACAAGATCGCAGCTATCAGACAACTGTTAAAAATTAAGTCACTGTTCTGATCTGCAGAGATTACCGTCCAATCCCAGCACTCGATGTGTATGATCCCGCTGCATTAGATGATGAAGACTTTGATGAAATGGCACCAGAGGCGCGGCAGGAAGCTGAGCGGCTCATGAGAAAGAGAGACAGAGAAGAGGCAGCTGCCAGAGGACGACTTCACCGGGGACTTCTTTATGGTAAAGACAAGATAATTTGTTTTGTTGTTTGTTTTTTTTTTTTACAATGAGAGGGAAGTGTATTGTTCATTAAGTCATAAAGCAACTGAAGAAGTTAAAAAGCCAAGAATGTTATTTTAGATTTCAATGGATTCAAACTTTTAAACCTTGACCTCTTTTGTATAAATGCAAATGAGCCTGTATTGTGGTGGTCATGTGGTAACCTTTAATGTCAGGTTTCAATCTATTTTTTGTTAAGATGAAACTGATGAGGAAGACGAGGAGCAACCAAGACGTCGGCGTAGGCTTGCGGAAAGAGCAGCTGATGGAGATATGCAAGATGAGGATGAAGTATGATAGAGGGATTAAATTTAGAATATATCTTAGTCGGATAAGAAAGTAACTACAACTTGCAGTCTTGAAAAAAATTCCTGAATTTCAAATAAGAGCTGCCACTAAAGTGTGTTTAAGTTCGTGGTGTTTTCAAACATAGTCTTGAAAATTTGTTGGATAAATTTTCATGAAGGGAGAGAAGTAGTGGAATCTTAGATTGGCTCAAATTTGTTAAAAAAGAACCCAGAAATGTTGACTCTTTCCTTTAATAATATTAGTTATCTCTCTGTAGCTTATTGAAAGTATTGAAAACCTGGAGGACATGAAAGGACATTCTGTGAGGGAGTGGGTGTCTATGCAGGCACCTCGCCTGGAAATCAAGAACAGGTTTAAACAGTTCCTTCGTTCATTTGTTGATGATCAAGGAAAAAGCGTTTACAGGGAGAAAATTTCACAGATGTGTGAAGGTAAGCATTGAGATTCCACTAAAATCTATTGTATCCTTTTAAATAAATGCAGCATATACTATGAGCTCGAGAGAAGCCAGTAAATTACAATATTTAGAGGTGAAGCTACATCAGCCTTAGCTTGTTTTAATGGGGGTCTTCTATCCTGGTCGAATTGGAATTTGGAGATGCTGAGTTTTGTGCAGGGAGGAAAACTGGAGAACCCGGAGAAAAACCCTCAGAGCAAGGCAAGAACCAACAACAAATTAAACTCAACACACATATTGTACTGGGCTGGAATCAAATCCAGACCACATTGATGTGAGGTGGGTCCTAACAATGCACCATCCTTACTCCTACTTTGCTTAATTGTTAGTGCTCAGTACTTATACATGCTTGGTTTCTCTTACATTTGACATCAAAATATTATATTGTTGTTTATTTTTCTCTTTTACACAGCAAACAAACAAAGCCTTGTTGTTGATTA